CCCCCCCCCCCCCCCCCCCACACACAATAGGCAATCACATGCCCCTGGGATGTTGCACCTGTCAATAAATATGAGTCAGTTGCCAAGCATCTGAGATTTAATCACATGATTATGGGGATACAGCAACATTTTTAATTGTGAGAAATAGTCATGTCACTTTTTTAGGGCATTGTAATTTTGAATGGTCACTAAATGAACTGTTATAAGTCAAGGACTACCTGTATACATACATATTGTTGTCTGCATGTCCCCCAAATTGCTTGGATGTTGACATCTCTGCTGTAGAGAATGCCACTATGCTCCTTCCATTGTTGTTCCGGGTATAACTATATTGCATAGCAAATCTAGCTGAGCTGTAAACTTTGGGACATCTCTACCATGCCATGAAAACAGGTCCTACAAGATTTCTGTGGCACCATCATTCTGAGAAGATTCTTTGGATGGCTTTCAAATGAATTTCATCGTCCTTGCTCTAAATAAATATCTGATCCTTAGAGATCAGGGTCGCACATGCTGGCTTATCTTCTCTAGCAGTTTCAGTTTCGGTATATATTTGGATGAGGCTATTTTTGTATCTGAAAAAAAAAAATTTGGTCAGAGACTGATCTTAAATTTGTTTATTTTAGGACGGAAAAAATCATGATGGACACCCCCGTCACACACTCGGCTTACCAGCCTGCAGAATTGGACAGAAATATGTATTATATCTTGACTGAAAACTACCATTATGGCAGCAAGCTTTTCCACGCAGGGAGTATGTGTTATCTGAGAGAACAGATATACCTGCAGCACATTAGCAGAATGTCTACTCGCTTGTGGCGCTTTATCATGGAACAGGATGGTTCCGTGGCTACTGTGGACGTGGAAAGCCTGCAGCCAGTGAATGAGAAGATGGCTGACTTCCTTCTGGCCATCAACAACGCTCAGGAACGCTTGAACTGTTTTCTAGACAGGCAGGTTCTAGATGCCGCCATGATGGCTGAACAAGGTCAGCAGGTCTTGGTCGATCTGGATGATCAGTTTTTCCCCGCTACCATCCGCTACATTGGGAAACTTCATACAAGCCCTTTATCATCAGGGATCTGTCCAATTTACTTTGGAGTGGAATTGCAGGTAAGACGGATTTTAAAAAGGGCTATTATTTTGGTGACAGACTGTGACAGAGTACAGGTAGAGCTTGACATACGACAGTCCGTTTAGTGACCTTTCAAAGTTACAGCGTGGCACCGAAAAATGTGACTTAGGATCGTTTTTCACAGTTAGGACCTTTGCAACTTCCCCATGGTCATGGGATCAAAATTTACCTGCTTGGCAACTGACTCATACTTATGATGGTTGCAGTGTCCCACGGTCACATGATTCCCTTTTGTGACCTTCTGACCCACAAGGTCAACGGGGAAGCCAAATTCACTTAACAACCGTGTGACTAACTTATCAAATGCAGGGATTCACTTAACAACTATGGCAAGTAAAGTTGTAACATGGAGCAAAACCCACTTAACAAATGTCTCACTTAACAACAAAAATGTTGTAAGTGGAGGACTACATGTAGTCAGTTTACACCTGTTGTATGCAGACCTGTTTCCTGATCACCAGGTTATGTGGTGAGTTTTTAACTTAAGCATGAATAGAAAATTTTTCCGTTTTGGAAGGATGGAAATTTAAAATAGAGATAGTCCTTGACTTACAACAATTTGTTTAGTGAAATACCGAATTAGTGCAATGCACTCAGAAAAATTGAACCTCTGCCCCAAATCTAAGAGATATTATCCCCTTGGGGAAAGAGTGTTGACTTGCTTTAACCCTAACTAGATATCCTGTGGATAGACTGGGGAATCCTGGGAGTTGAAGCCCACAAATCTTACAGCTGCTAAGGTTGGGCACCCCTGGGCTAACCCCTCAGTCATGACCTCTGTCGGTTACTTCTCCAGGGTGATGGTGAAGGCAGAGGCCTCTGTGCTGGCACCTACCATGGGGCAGAATACTTCAAGTGTAAACCCAAGTGCGGCCTTTTCCTGCCGTTCAACAAGCTGCAGTTTCTGCCAGCGTTAGAGACCGACCAGGTGGAGGAGAAAAGGCAGCGACCTGATGGAATTGTGCCAGTGAAAATGGGCGACCCTGTTGGCTTTTATTTAGACGATGCCTTCACACGAGGGATAGTCCTGGAAGTGTATCAGAAGGGGAACGAGTGGATGGTGAAAGTATGTCCGGTAAGGAGGTCTCAAAGAGAAAATGAATTCCTGAAAATTATTTGTCGGTTTTATTTGCTTTTTCCCCCTCTTGTCTCAAAAGTGCTTTTCAAAGGGCAACTGGGCTTTTCTTTTTCTTTTTGAAAACATTTGGCTTCTCATCCAAGAAGCTTCTTCAATTCAGTTCTGCAGTTCTTGCATGAGAAACGAAATGTCTTCAAAGAAGAAGAAATAAACAAGAAAGTCCAGTTTCCTTTTGGAAAAGCGCCTTTGGGGAAATGTCTGCAAGCATAATCAAGCTCAGAGACCAAGGACTCCACAGAAAAATGTCAGCAATTAATTCAGTCTGTTATTTAGCTTTTGGTTTCCCAAAATGATGTATTCTCAGTGCTCAAGGCAGCTCCTTTGATTTCAAGCTCACCTTGGTTTCGGAATCCTTGGTGTGGGGGTTTGCTCTATATTTGAAGACAGTAGCCCACCCACCAGTCTTGGTGGGGAGGTGGGGTATGCTGAGATACGGTTTTCTCCTTGGTTGTTCCTAAGGAATTCCAGGAAGTTTGGCATGCTGACAAATCATCCATCAGTAGACCCACAGAAATAAACCTTATTTACACACCATTCAAAAGGGACGAAGAAAAAGCTGAGAAGGACCAGAACACATCCTCTCCAGCAACCAACTTCCAGATAAGCAGGGATTGATACCAGAGAGACAATTATAGCAGAAAACAATACCTTTATCAAGGAATTACCAAGTAGAAAACCATATCCCCACCAGCATTGCCAGGAGAGGCATTGTAGGAGGTTGGGGTCCGTATGATTCTTTCTGATTATGCATTTTGTGACTCACCTGGATAACCAGATAGCTCTGGGAACAGTTACAAGCAATAATGACCTTATTTTGAGAGAGAAATGTGACACAGTGCTCTCTTTCAGAAAACCTCCCCTCTTTTAAACCCATTTGTTTCTTTGCTTCTTAGACGGGAAATAAAGTTTTGTAAAAGCTTGTAATACTTGCTTTGAGGAAGGTAGAAGGAAATTGGAAACTAATTCGCTTGTGGGAGTCCAGTGCCTCTTCAGGGAACATACGCTACCTGTGCCAAGCATGGACGCTTACAATAAAACATAAACAAAAGTTAAGTTACCATGGAAAGGAGATCTTTGAGGAATGCTGCTGGAGTGACCAGAAAAGATAAAATCAGGAATGAGATCATAAGAGAAAGAATTGGTGTAGAACCGATCTGGAGCCACATACCAAAAACAGCAAATGAAGTGGCTTGCTCACCTGGAGAGAAAGCTCTTGGGATTCCATGCTGTCCAAGGCATGTAAAAAAAGATGACAAAGAACACGGGGCAGATGCAGACAGATGTCTTCTTAAGAGCAGAAAGAAATAGAACAGAACAGTTATTGTGAAAGATAGGAGGAAAGGTGGGATTGGGGAAAAAAAACACATTTGGGACATCAAAATGAACTATTTATCAAATGTGTTTCTCATCTTGCGGTTCAGAAGACTCTTGGCGGGTGAAGGATGCTTTTGCAGAATCCACCTCTATTCTGATTGAAATGGCATAGGGTCTCCTGCTTGAGCAGGGGGTTGGACTAGAAGACCTCCAGGGTCCCTTCTGGCTCTCTCCTGATTGATTGAATTCCAACACCTGTTATATGTGGGAAGAAAGGAGGAGACTCACTCCATCCACACCCATCCCTCACATTTAGGTCTTAAAATCCTCTTAAGTTTTCCTTCTATTTTAGGAGGAAGAGGGCTCAGCAGACGTTTTCCGAGAGATCCCTCTGGATTCGGTGGTGAAGGAGGAACTGCTCTCCTTAGGTAAATGGCTTTTTGGACAGCCTGGAGCTTTTATTGTCCTGATTTTGGAGGGGGACTGAAAAACAAGTACAAAAGTAGTCCTCAAGTTACAACCATTTGTTTAGTGACTGTTCGAAGTTACAGCAGCACTGAAAATAGTGGCTTACGACCACATTTCACACTTACGACTCTTGCAGCATCCCCATGATCAATAAATCAGATGCTCGGCAACTGACTCATACTTACGACCATTGCTGTGTCCCAAGGTCAGACGATCCATGACCTTTTCCGACCTTCGGACAAGCAAAATCAATGGGAAAGCTGAATTCCCTTAGCAACCATGCGACCAACTTATCAACCGTGGTTATTCATTTAACAGCCGAGGCAAGAAAGGTCGTAAAATGAGGCAATACTCACTTAACCAGTGCCTCACTTAACAAGATAAATTTGGGGCTCGATTGTGTCTAAGGGGGAGGACTACCTGAAGTCAAATATAGAAGAGCAGGATGTCACACCTGTTCTTACCTGGGACTTTAGCAACGAGGAAAGCAAAAGGTCATCGGATCAGAATGAAAGGGCTCAGCAGAAATAAACAGACAGGCCTCGTTTTTCTGTCTTTGATACAGACCCGGATTCTGGGCTCCAGGAATACTTCAAGCGTAAGAGAAGCGAAAGTTCAGAGAATTTGGAAGAGAAGGCCGGCTCTCTGGGAGTCAACTCTATGGTGCAGATCAACCTAGACAAGGGACGGGCTGTCACGGGGACGATCCGTTGGATTGGCTCCCTCCCTAATACCCCGCGAAGGGTGGCTGGAATTGAGTTGGTAAGCACCCATCACCCATCCTTTGTACTGTGTCCCTCCTGCGCCCCCCCCTCTCTCCCTCCCCCCCCCTCTCTTTGATGTGAACTTTTCAGCTTGTAGCTTGATCAGGACCCAAGAGCACAAAGCTAGACCTGCAGGTGCCTGCAGGATAGAAACTGCCTTCATCCCCAGCAGCTGCTCACACTGGTGCCGGAGCCTCTGGAGATGGAATGGATGGCTGCTCCCTCTCCCCGTGGATCTTTCCGGAGCCAGCAGGCATTTGAAGCCTCCTGATCAAAGGTCACAGTGGGAAGAGTTGGCCCAAAGCTTTGGGAGGGGGGTATGTGTCTTGCCTTGGGGCTTCCTCTTGCCCAGGAGGTGATAGTGAGGGAGCTTCCATTATTTATTGTGCTGTGTGTGTGTGGAGAGAGAGAGAGAGTAATACATGTTTATACTGTACGTACACTCAGTACATATAATATATGTCTGTGTGTTTGTGTGTATACATACACATATATATATTTAGAGTCACAACCCCTGGTATGCCCAATTATGGGAGGAAGCTAACTGCTTCCATTCTCTGTCCATCGGCTCGTCACAAGAGTCCA